TGGGAGGCTTTCACCGTAGACAACGGCCGTTCAAAAGAAAACAAGTGTTAGCGAAGCGATACGCGAAGTGACGAAACGATAATTCACTCCCTCGACTGTCGTCTTGTGCGGTGGGCTGAACACTTCCAAGAACATTTCAGCTGTTCTCATAGCTGGCCTGAATGGAATACCGACACCAGACCACCATCGACAACCAAAAATGCAGCTTGATTTGTCAATACTGAAGCGCGACAATGCCCCTTGTACGGATGTCCTACACTTCAGATTCCTTGGAGAAGTTAACGAGGACCTTGGGAACAGTCTGACAAACATGTCGCAGAGGATTTGGGATGAAAACTGACTACCAGTCGAGTGGAGCTCCTCAACCGTCATCCCAGCTTTCAAAAAGGGCGCAAGAACGTTATGTGAATACCATCGTAGTATCAAATAGGTTCTTGAAATAACACTACTCAGGAGGTTGCTAGAAATCTTTTACATTCTGTGAACAGCATTTCCTTTCCTATAACTCATCAGGTAGGACCAGTCGCCGAGTTTCTTTCAACCCCATGTCTTACATGAACCTGAATTGTACGCATTTCACGAACTAAGCTTATTTTCAAACCAATTTGTTTTTATCGAGGGATTCAGCTGAATCCCAGTCGGATCCCCGTTTATGGATTAACCGTTTGACCTGATGTTTCATTTGAAAATACATTCGTTTCATCACTTTACATTTTCTTGAAGGCTGATGGAAGTTCTTCGGTTGCCAACCCCCGGCCTCCCATGTTGGGACTCACCACGCAGGCGCAGTTCTCGAGTTTCCGCCAGCTTCGTATTCTAATTGAACACAAAACTTAACACAAGAAGCGAAGTACATTCACTTGCAAACTGCACTGATCTCCACAAGAGACTCGACCCAACCTCTCGTTTCTGGTATCTTGAATTTTTGTCGACTGAAACGTGAAGCGGTATTTGTTAGTCACACTTAGAGAAAGGCCAACATAATTTGCAACTGAGTGTTCACATAGAATATGTGATGGAAATTAGATAACTATGGCTACCTGAATAGTACGATAGAAGCGAAACCGGTGCCAGGTTGTCAAAGGCTTGAGCAACCTTACGAGTATTGTTTTCGGTCTACTGTGTTATGTGGGATATCGTTGTGCGGCACATTCAGTTGAAAAAAAAACATAAAAGAGATATTTAGTTAGGATTCGGTTGAGTTTGGAAGAGTGAAATTCGCAAAGTCCCTTGCTGCGTTTTCCTGGTTTTGGAAACCTCTCCTCACATCAGTAGGCTGAGGTTCCTTCAATCGATTGCTGAGGTATTTCCA